TTACACATAAACTGGTTTAAGTGATCAGAAATTGGTTTAAATCTGTAACAGAACAGACGTTCAGTGCATATAAACCAGTCTGAAAATGGCTGAAAGCAGTTTGATATAAACCTGGTAGAATGCAATATCAGATTTAACTGATTTCAGTGAAACCAGTTTATGCAATGTCTGTCCCAATGTCTTCCTGGTTTTAGTTAAACCAGAGACCCCCAGCACGCCAGAGACTTCGTAGCTCTGGGTAGGGCTCTCTGCTCCAGAGAGCTGGGCTGGCCCCTCCCCTGGAGCTCTGACGGAGGCTGCAGGTACAGCAGTGTGTGCCTGGCTTCCCCCTGCTCCCTTTTCACCACTCGCTACTCAAGCAGGGATTCCCACCTCTCCTCTGCCTTACACAGACACGTCTCAGCACTAGCTAGCATACTACATGCTGGCTACAGTTCGCGCTATGAGAGACAGGACAAAGGCAGTGTTGGCTCAGGGCTTTTTGGAGCTAATCAACAGGTAGCTGGTAGCGTCCCTCCATTCCTTCCTTGGTAAAAGTTGTTTAAAGAAGAGCTTGAACTAATAAGAGAGGCTTTGTTTTGTTTGATGGGCTGATAAATGCTAACAACTCCCTGTGTAACTCCCTGCTGTGTAACTAAATGCTCTGTTATCAACAGCAGGGGGGAGAACCCCTCCCTAATCAGAGCGTCCTGTAGGGGCCTGGCCACACCCCTCCCTCAGCTCAGTACTATCAAAGGGAAGGGAGGGCTGCTATAGCGCCTCCAGCTTCTAGCCTGAGCCACTGCAGGCATGTGCCTGCATTTCTGGAATGAAAAAATGAATGTCTATCCACCTCCAAATCAGTTCAAGCACTGTAAGTTAGACTAACCTGCAAAGATTGTATCAATCCAGGCTCAGGCTTTTTAAATGTCTGTCTCTAGCCCTTATGCTTAAATGAACCTGCAGCAACCGAAGAATAATTCCATTGTTATCAATATGGAACATCCTGCCACAAGAACAAATTATTATTATGTGGCCCTACGTACATGCTTATTAAATCCTCCCCTCCACCCCCCATATATTTGCTTATAAGCTTAACTTGACTCATGCAAGTAGTTCCACTGAAGTCAATGATGCACATATACAGCTGGTGTAAACAGTTATAGCTACACTAAAGTCAGTGGAGTTATCACAGTTTCCATCAATGGATGATCTGTCTTGTGCCAGTGAGATTAGCATATGATTAAACAAAAAGGTAGTACTCTAGAAATACAAATAAAAGTAGTATATCATCTGTATCACATTATGATTGGGATTAAAAAGGAAAGTAGAACAAAAATTGTGATAATGTTGGACACACTTCGTGAGATTTTCCTATTATATGCTTATATTTCAATTCAAGACAATATAAGAAGAAAGAACAGCTATTTCTATTTTTAACAGAAAATTTAAATGTTATAAGCAGAAGGAAAAAGGCATTTTATATTTATCACACATGAACAATATCCACTGCTTCTAGACACTTTGTATTCAGAAGCATCTGTTAATACATAGGAGGGATTTTCAGTACCTGAAAAGAAATGGGCCTTGAAGCCTTTCTTTGAGACAGTGTTGTCAGATCTGAACTCAATTCTCATGTTGTTGTACTGTGATGTGATCACTTCAGGCACTTCTGTACCACAAAATTTACCATGCAGTTTAGAATCAGAAGAAAGGCCACTACGGATCTCCACATAATCATATTTGCAAACCTGGGAACAAAGATCTTTATTTTAATCAAATGATCTTTCACATAAAATGGATGATCTTTTATGTTACTTTGACATTAAGCCATCAAGAAATAAAGTATTTTATAACATTATTAGTATCTTTTGCTGCAAATCTCAAATTCTTTTATAGCGATGTGTATGGATTTTATTCCAATATATTTGCAGGCACACTAAAACATATCTAGAAATTAGAAGTTTAAAAATTAAATCTTTTAGGACAAAGTTCATTCATATACACATACACACACACACACACACATATATATAATCTACATTTTAAAATGTTTAAGAATTCAGCCATTTAACTGAGAAGGAAAAAAGTAGTCTGAAGACATTTGACTAAGGCCTGCAAATGTCCACTTTGAAGAATAAAAACCATCTTTCAGTTGATGAACAAGAATCCAAAAACTATGAATGTTAATATTGGACCCTATACCTTTAAACAAAATGGATTGCCTTTCATATGGAAATGGGACACACAAAGTTTTTTTTACTTATGAGAATATAAATCTTCAGTATTAATCCTAACATCTTTTTTTAACAGTAGTACATCTATAATGCAACAGGCTAATACATGTAATTTTCATTAAGCAGTTAAAAAAAATCACCCCTTATGCAATACTCATAATACTTTCAGTGCATAATCCCTTGTCCACATAAAACCTTCCACCCAAAAAACTTCTAAGCTTCTTAAGCTCAACTATCAATCATTTAATCGAAAATGTCCTACTTGTCTGCAATTAATAGCTTAAGAGAAAACAGTGGCCTGAAGGATTCGGATAGGACACAGATTGTGCATTGAATCCAAGTACACGCATGCAAGATTATTTTGGTTTTTGTTACTTATAAACCATGAACATAATTTTCAATGTTTCCCCATACTTTAATGCTTCCAAACTAATATTTGAAAAGTACTTATAATTAAAGATGTGGAAACACGGCTAATTCAATCATGATTAGATGTAAGACTCTTAACAGAAACAATATTAACTTAACAGCTAAAGTTTATTTTTACTGATCTAGTTTTGAGCTAAATCTCATCTCAGTGCCTTTGGATTTATAAATACAGGTTCCAAAAATGTTAATAAATCTCAATATCCTTCTCTGTACAAAGATTATGTATTAAGGTGAATTGTGATGTTTTAGTGGGTTTTAAGTAGACCTTTATCCAAGTGTAGACTTTGTAGTTTAGTTTCCTTTATATAGCACCATATAAAACTTTGATAGAAGTACAGGTATATTAATTTTTTTTATTAGCATAGTATTTACAGTTACTTGTAAATATAACCTAAACCAATATACAAACTATTTATTCAGCAAAAATAGTTTCACAGTTAATGGAACCTCTTATAAAATGAATATGTATTTAGACCAGGGATGCTTAATCCCTGGCCCATGGACAGATCCAGCCCCAGTGCCATGTCATCTAGCTTGTGGCTCCAATGAGCCCATGAATTTGGCAGTGGGGGAACGTGACACCTGTTAAATGACTGGACCCATGGGAAAGTCTGGGCCCTTCACATGCCTTGGAAGGTTTGGGAGGTTTTCCCAAGATCCCAGAGTGGTTCCACTCAACTGCAAACTTGTCACTTGAGCAATCAGTTGCAGGCTTTCTGGCCCTATTGGCATCCTGTGACACAAGGCATCTTATGGGCTGAGTTTGTAGCCTCCATCTGCCCCTATAGCCATGCACATATCTTGCAGAGTATATACGGCAGGGGTTGCAACATTTTGGGGCAGAGTGCCAAAAACACCCACAACCTTGACTTGTAAGATGTTGGCGTGCCGGGGTGGATGGGGGCAGGGTGGAACCATGACAGGCCTGATCTTTATTGTGGCAGTGCAGCCCTAGCCCCTTCCCTGCTGTCTACTCCAAGGGGCGCATGCCAAACAAAATGCCTTTGCGTATCACACTCTGATACCTATGCCAGGGGGTGCCTATCCATGGTATATGGTATAAATTTCAAGGAGCCACCCAGCTCTACTACTGTGCTTATTCCCCTAGGCCTCAAACCTTTGTTGGGACTTCAGCCTTCCTGGCTATAGCCCCTTTCCTTTGCCCCCTGCCCTAGGTCCATTGACTTGGAACTCAGCTTCTGGGCCCTAGCCTCATCTCGCCCCTTTTCAGCCTCTAGGCCCTTGGCCCTGGTCTTGCCTTTCTTGGGCTCTGGGTCCATAGCCCCGTCTTGTTCTGTCTCAGTTTCAGCCTCTGAGGTCACTGACCCAGGTAAGACTCTAAACTGGGTGTTCCTCAGGCACCCCTGTTGCCTCCATACTGCTCCTGTAGTAGACACATTGGGGCCTCCAGTTGTAAACTTAACTACAAAAAAAATGTACAAGCAACCACTTTCAAACAAAAACCTCCACCACTCCAGGTAAAAGACATCTTGCCAGCCCTCCTCCCCTTGAAGCTATCACCTCTCAGTGTGGTTTGGTACCTGCCGAGTGGTCTCCTGCTAACCTTTTGTCCTGGGAGCTCTATTACCTGCAATGCACTGAGCCTGACTGACCTCCTCCCTCCAGGTGCTAGTTTTATATGCCCTGAAGCCCTGCTCCTTTGGGTCAGGTGACTCCCTTATCATGCACAGGTTTTTCTTCTTTTGCCTAAGGGGCAACCTGCCCCTCCCTGCTGCAAGCAGCTCAGCCACGCTGCTTGCAGCCTTTATCTTCTGGCTGTCTAGAAATCTACAACAGTATCCCAGCTTATCACTGTTCAGCTAGCCTTGGTCCAGTTGCATGCCTAGAGCCAGGCTAGCCTGTTGTGTCTTCTCCTTAAGTAACACGGGCCTTTGGCTGCCAGAGGAATTGTATTTTCTTCAGTGTGTGTGTGTGTATGTGTAATAGTTTTTGAAAATATGTTTGATTACTTCAGTTGGGACTCTGATTTAGCTGTACAAATATCAGTACAAATGCAGATGAATGTTTTTCAAGTGGTAATATTGGTGATGATATTTTAAACATTTTATTGGTGGTGATATGTTGAACATTTTCAATCAATACATGACGCATACAGAATTTAAAACTACAGTAGTTTTCAGAACCAAATCTCTAAAATATTGCCATAAACTCAAAGTCAGCCATTGAAGATTTACCTTTATTCTCCAATTTTATTCTGAGCCTTGTTTTTTGTGTGTTTAAAATCTATGTTTACCTTGGGGGGGGAAAACATGAAACTGTCTAAATTTCTGATATACATGTGCAAAAACCTATTTGTGTACACAACTGAAATACTTAAACACACAAGTTTTTCATGCCCAGCATGAAAGCCAACAAACAAAATGCAGGATTTTTTTTTCCAAAAGAAGGATATCATTTTCAAATAATAAAAATACTACTGAATGAAAATCACTGATTTCTCTCAAAGCTTAAAATACTACAGAACTATTTGAAATAAAATATACTTTTCATGTAGTCAAACTGCAGAACTTTACAAAAATGTTGAATGGAAATATTTTGTTCAAATGAGTACGGGGCAGTGGGGGACCTGTAATTAGAGTGGATCTAAGAGCCACTCTAATTAAAGCATTCACAGCGTCTCATATATCAGCGTGCCCATGCTTCAAAATGGTGTTGGGGGTGCTTTATCTAAAGCTTGTCAAGTGAGCTTTAGATAAAGTGCCCCAAGCTTTAGATAAAGCACCCCTGCCACCATTTTGAAGAACAGGGACACTGATGCATGAGATGCAGGAGGCTGCTGGAGCACAGTAATTAAAGTGCATCGGAGCAGTCTCACTGCTCAGGTATAGGCACCCATTATAACCAAATGAAACTAAATGATTAAAAATGGCTGAATTATTGCCTACAATAGTATAAAAAATTATAATATCTCAACTCTAATAACATGTAAATATATTTTAGTAAACTATGTACTTTATAGATGAAGATGACTAATTTTTTCTCTCAAGTATGCAGTGCAGTTAATAATCTAGATTAACGGAGATTCAAAATATTCTGATGAGGTTAATTTCACAGTCCAAGTAGTTCTCAACTTCAGGAAATTTATTTTGATGTCTAGATTTTTTCTTTTGTATTTCATTCTATGGTGAATTATTATACTACTTATACTACCCTAAAGTTTCTCTGTTTGCTTAATGTTCACACTTAATGTTAACAAGAATTTTTGCTTTTTCCTGAAGTCTCCAATTCAAAGTCTCATCAGCCATTTAGTTTGTTGACAAGTCAGCTCCAGAAGACAACATTTTTTAAGGTTTGCTTTAATAAGTACATACTTAGAAAAGAACAAAACCTTCCATTTTTATTCTAAAAGAATCTAGAAACAGTTCTCAAGTTCCGGTAAAATCAAAGAAAACAATTTTGATGGAAAATGCCAGTATTCGAGGCAGTAATTGTTGTATGAGACAATATCTATTTGTGAACAATCGTGTAACTGTTTACTATACGATATTGTGTAAGTCACAGTTTGTGGTTACTTACTTCATTCCCTTCTAATTCAAAAAACTCAAACTTCATTGAAATTCTGTACTGAGTGGGAGCAACCACCTGCCACACACAGTTTTTGTTTGGAGGATATTCTTTGGGCCACCCTGGTGTGGTTATAGTTCCATTTAGCTTTGTCAAAAGTCCTCCACAGGCAGCTGAAATGTAAAATAAAAGAGGAAGAGCATCACTTATTTTCTGATACCACATTTTGCTATGAGCAGAAGCATATTTAAATAAAAGGTTCATCCCTGCCAGAAACAGGGCCCAATTGTACTGTGCATGATCTGAATACAAAGAAATACATAGTCTCTGCCTTGAACGTCTTACAATCTAATGTAAAAAGGTGTGAATGAATTTCAGTGCTTCACAGCCACTTTATCATAACCTCTGATTTCTCTTTCTTTTCAAATTCTGTCTTTAACCCTATCACTGTTGGCAGAGTTCGACTTCCCACTCCTTTGAATATCACAGGATTACCAGGATACTCTTCCTTTCCCTTACTCCCTCTCCAAAATACCTTATCCAAAGTAGTCTTTTCTCCCTAGCTTATATAAACATGCCTCTTCCTAACTGAAGTCCATCTTAGTTGCCCTTTACCTAGTGGTAGTAGCCAGATATTATTCATACATAAGAGTTAACTTTGTTAAAAATAAAAATATATCAATATAAACGTCCCAATTTCTATACTCTGCTATTCATGGTTCTTTCTTAAATATTCGAATGGCCATTAGGCAATTTAAAAAATGTTGTAAACACTTACAATCCTGGGGTTTTTTTAGAAGTGTATGTTTTTCTATTATTATTTCCTCTTTTAAAAAAAGTTATTTAGTTATATAGGAGAACAATATTATATCACCAAAAGTGCAACAGATAGTAGAGAATGAACAGTTTAAGTCAGTGAAGCCTAAGCGTATTCATCTGACAACCTGGCTTCATATTTTAAAAAGTCAAGGAGAGATGTTTAGTTCTGCTCTGCTCCATCTGTGGTACTCACAGTAGCTGTGGTACTCTATCAGCATTACTATGGCTGCTGATAGATATGAAAAATAAAAACCAAAAAAACCCCATCTTTTACCTGTATGTTAGGTCAAACCGGCTCCGCAGCATCTGTATAGATCATGCACTTCAAGGGGGCTTTTGGGTGCTTTTATCTAAAGCTGATTCAATCAGCTATTATATAAAGTGTCAAAAAAGCCCTGCTGAAGTGCATGATTTATACAGACATTGGGCAAGCTGGATCAAACACAATGCCTCTTCTGGGCATGCACGGTGCAACGTAGGGTGCATCTGCAGGCAGGTAAAACTCAGGTACCTGCCCTGGGTTTGTAGGTGCCTAGAGGAAAATCACTTTGTAAGGGATTTCCCCCCATGCACTTGCAAACTCAGAGTGGGGAATCATACTGAGGTCCCTCTGCAGACATACATCCCAAAGCCCTGACTTTCCCCACACCTCAGACATGTCCCCTAGGGGGGTGGGACTCGGTAGGCTGGAAACCAAGTCTGGAACTCCCAAGGCTTGAGGGGGTTGAATCTGCCTCTCAAACCCACAGAGCTCCTGCCCCCAGGAGTCAGGAGAGCCCAGGCAGCTTCACACAGCCCAAGTTCTTCTGCCATAAGCAGACAAATAAAGTGGCCAAATTTAATACAACTTTTTCTTGCAGCCACAAATTCAAGCACTTGTAGTATGACAGCAGGTATGTATATCTTTTTGCTCTCATTTTGTGCCACCACAAAATGTTTATGGCATCACAAAGGTGATGTCTGTTTTCATCCAGTTTGTACCAGTTCTCATCAGAACTCAGCCTCCAGCTAGTAAGCAAGTGGTAAGATTCATAGGTTCACAGAAATTAGGGGATGGAAGGAACCTCAGAGATCATCAGGTCCAGCCTCCATGCAGGAAAGACTGCTCAGGTCAGATGACCCCAGCAAGGCATGTATCCAGTAGTCTTTTGAAGATCCCAGGGAAGATGATTGTACCACCTCTGCGGGGAGTCTATTCCTGATTACGGACATGTGAACCATAAAGTAGTTTTTCGTAATGTCTAATCTGAAGCAACCCTCTATCACTTTATGACCATTATTCCTAGGCTTCTCCTGGGGTGCCTTGGTGAACAGGTGTTATCCTAGTCCCTGATGTTTGCCCCTTATACTGTATACTTAAAGGCTGCCAGCAAATCCCCTCTGAATCTTATCTTCTCCAGGCTGAACAGCCCCAAGTCCCTCAGCCTCTCCTCATATTGTCTGCTCTCCAGACCTCTAATCATTCATGTGGCCCTCCTTTTAACTCTTTCCAGCTTCTCCACATCCCTTTTGAACTGCTGCACCCAGAACTGGATACAGTATTCCAGCTGAGGACTCACCAGTGCTGAGTAAAGTGGGAGGATGACATCTTTAGTCTCACTTGAGACGCATCGGTTGATGCGTGCCAGTGTTGTTCGGTTTGCCAACTATAGCATTGCACTGGTGGCTTGTGTTCATTTTATAGTTGATCATGACCCTCAGGTCTCTTTTGGTTGTGGTACTAGCTAATGTAGCACCACTCAGAAGTACTTCCTCCTAAATATCTTCCTCTCCCAAAGTCCCCTCCCCCCCCCGCCCCACAGGGTGGGCGGCTAGCTTTGACCCAAGCTTTCTGCTCCAGCCAAGCAAAGAGGCATGCTCTAGCACCTCCCAGCTTCTGGCATTGGCAATTGCAGGCATGTGGCTAAATTTCTGGAATCAAAAGTGAATGTCTGTTCACTTGCTTACTGTTTAAATCTACACAGTTTAGGACTAACCTGCAAAGATTGAATCAATTCAACCTAAGGCATTTTGACTGTCTGTACTTAGCCCTTGTTATAAGGAACTTTTGGAATACGGGCTCATTTTGAAACACATTGAAAAAATTGGGAAAAAAATCATGGTTTATGAACTACCATATGTTTTCATTGTCAATGGCCTAAAAGGAACTAAAATGCCTCATACATGCCTATTATTCTGGCAAGAAAAAGATGAGGGAACTAAACAGAAATTAATTGTCTCATAAATCTGTTCACATATCTAGAGAATTTAGAAATTGTAGTTTTAACTTCATCTAAAGGAAGTTGCACTTTTTCAGACATATTACAACATTCAGACAAAGATAAAATATAACATGTTTGAATTGACTGGTGTTTTTTAACTCACTTCATATTATTTCTACTATTTTCATAAACGATAGTGCTGACCTTATATATTTTGATTTATAGAAATATATATATTTTGATTTCCTTGTTCTTAATCAATAGTTTTGATGACAAATTATATTTTATACCTCAATATATTGCTCTGTGAGTAAATCTTTCCTAATGCATGGGGAAAGACTACACTGTTGTGAAGTGAAATTATAGAGTGGATCAGTAAAGTACAAATTAACCAGACTCCACTGTATATCATTCTACTGACAATAAAGCCTGAACAGGATAAATTTACAATCAATGAATAAGACTATTATAGAAAGGCAGTAATATGTTATAGACATACTACTGTTTCCTAGCATGAAGCTATCTCAATGTTTTCTCAAGTGGATACTCATACCTAGACAAATTTCTGCTTAAGTCACAGAACATGAAAAACATACTGTAAAATGGCTTTGTAAAATGTAATCTAGGACCTTAACAACTAGGTTAGGGACAGACATTACACATAAACTGGTTTAAGTGATCAGAAACTGATTTAAACCTGTAACAGAACAGATGCTCAGTGCATATAAACCAGTTTGAAAATAGCTGAAACTGGTTTGAGATAAATCAGACTTAACTGATTTGGGTCAAACTGGTTTATGCAATGTCTGTCCCACACCCACTACTGGTTTAAGATAAACCAGACACCCCCAGGATCTCAGCATGCTCTCTGGCTGGAGCTCAACAGAGACTGCAGGCTGCTTCCCCCTTCCCCTCACCACTCCCTGCTAATCAAGAATTCCTTCCTCCCCTCTGCCTTGCTGAGGAGGTGTCTATGTATTAGCTAGCAGACCACATACTGGCTATGGTCCATGCTGAATCAACAGGCAGAATCAACAAGTAGCTGGTACTGTCCCTCTGTTGTTTTCTTAATTGGGTGATAAACACTGTTATAAATTCCCTGCTGGGCTAATCAGAGTTCCTGCCAGAGCCTGGCCATACCCACCTCAGCTCAGTTCTGTTGAAGGAAGGGAAAGCTACTCTAGTGCCCTCCGGCATCTAGCCTGAGCCACTGCAGGCATGTGCCTGCATTTCTGGGATGTCTGTCTGGTTACAAAACTGATTTAGCCTAGCCAGGTTACAGTAAGCTGCAAAGATTGAATCAATTCAAGCTCAGGCTTTTTGAATGTCTGTCCCTAGACCTAATGACATACTGTACCTTCACAACTCTTTTTATCAGGTGCAAGTTCATACCCAGGATCACAAGCACACTGATAGCTGCCCAGAGTATTCACACACCGCTGTTCACAGCCTCCATTGTCAGGTTTGGCACATTCATCTTCCTCTATCAAGATAGAAAGCGATGGAAAATGCTTAATTAATAAGTCTTTACCTTCTTCACAGCTAACTAAATAGATCTCCAGCTTGTTGCATGCACACCATTGTAACTTGTACTAAATAACACATCATGTCTGCTGACTACAGTGTTTTTAAATTGTTATGGACCTGCAATGAGAAAATAAAGCTTATGTTTTCCTTTTTCACAACAATAGCAACTGACAGCTGCAGACCTCATTTATAAGCTTCCATTCAATAATTTAGGCTGCAGCAATCTAAAGGTTGTGTAAAGTACTGAGAGAATGATTGGAAATCCACATCGGGGTCGGCTGAAGGGCACTTTATCTTCAACAGAATGAATTTGTACATTATCCTGTATTCATACTCAAAACCAGATTAATGGAATCCTCAAATTCCAGGTTTTGATTCTCCTGATATTAAAGAGAAAAAGATACAGCAGGAAAAAAGGAAAACAGTATTAACTCTTCTAGCTTTAAAATATGCTCATTATATCCAGGCCAAATATACCTGAGGTACAGAAATATGGCATTACACAGTGACAAACATGGAGAATGCTTTCTTTTGAAATTAAACAATATAACAAAAACAACCCTTTCCCTCCTACTTTTACAACTACAGCTTTCACTGTGCTACTGCAGAGTTTAGATTGATGGTACAAGCTTAATCATCACTAGCCCATTGTGACCACACAAGAGGATAAATGGCTGTCCCCTTACTTTTGTGCATGCACTTGGTGCACCACAGGCTGCCAAGTGGAGGGGAAGCCAGAGCCACATGCTTCACTTCCCCATCCTATCCAGGAAGGCAGGACAGGGTGTAGATTGGGTGGACCTTGCCACTATGCTTGCAGTGGGCTGACCAGTGTAGATGCATGTGGAATGATAACGGAAACATGCTATACAAGGCACTGTCCCCCAAACCTCTTTGGAGTGTATGGAGGATATTAGGGGTGTTTTACACATGCATTTAAGCATGCCGAAATTTGATGCACATTATCTTAATGTGCATTAAGCAGGTTTACACAGGTGTCTACATGTGCATGTATTAAAGCCCATTAGCACGGTCTGTGGACTGACTTGGGACTAAAGTTAGTCCCAAATCAGTCAACACATACAGCGTTAATGTGCTTTAATTCATCTACATGTTTGTTAATTTGCTTGAACTATTCTTGCCTAAATTTGATACCTGCATTTAATATCATTAGCAGCTGTGGTAACTAAAATCAGCAGAAGGGGAAAAGGGCAATGAGCAGCAGTGGCATTAACTCCCACCTTGCAAAAGTATACACAACTACAGTAATAATATGCAGTAAAAGGCCACGGCAAATTAGGCAAATTCATTCTCATAGGAATAGAAATTAAAATTAATTTTAACTTATACCCCTCCTAAGCTTTGTCTTTAATATCAATCATAGCATAACAGAATTTTTTTTTAATTCTTCTGCATTATGACTTGTGAGCCAGATCCATCCTCCATAAACTGTATTTTAATAAATACCTTTAAAAAAGTTAGCAGCAAACCCTGCTTTGTTAACAGTTCCATCAGAAACAAACTTCATCCACAGGGTATTGGAGGTAGATCTAATATCATCTGGCTTATCATAGCCACAGAAATGGCCAATCAAAGGACTATTTTCACTGGTTCCATCTCGAACTTCTAAGTAGTCATAAGCACAGTTGTCATGTCTTTCAATCTGTAAAGACATCAAAAACATTTTTTTAAACCATGGGCATTACACATTCCTAAACACAAATCCTTTTCTGTTGATAACTGAATAAAAACTTTGATGAAGGATAGATCTCTGATCATATTACATACAACTGCTTATTAATAATACTGCTTATTAATACATTGATTTTTTTAAACAAAAGCATGATTTTAACATTAAAATATTATATAACAGCTCAGTTAAGATAAAGTATATTTGGAATAGATAGAAAACAAAACTCTGCTTGTGAACCCCAAAAGTTTGATCTAAATTAAATGGGAGGTCTCTATGTTTCTGTACATTCTAATGTGGAAGTCTAAAAAAAAAAAAAGGTGCTAGCTTTTAACAGAATAAAAAGTTTAAGTTTTATTGAGTTAAATATTAAATACATCATAATATATAACATGTTCCTTTGTATTGTTTATGTAGATATAAAATTAAATGTATTTTATGCTCTCCCTCCATTTTCAAGGTAGTGCAAAATGTGTGTGGAAAATATATGTAGTGAAGAGGGGATCAGGAAGTGGATAATTCGTTTCAGGCCTTTCATAGTGTGGGAAGCAGAATGGAATTAGAAATTCGCTTCTAAAATGATTAGTAATGAAAGAAATAACAGAACTGATATTTAAATTGTCATTTCATTTTCAATCTGTTAAATGCCCCATTTCTCCAAGTATTCTGATGATAAGCAGCATCAGAACTAGAGTTAGAATACATAGTAAGGAAGGTCCAGATAATTTAGAGCACAATCTTCCTAGTAATGGTTTGAACAGGAGTTGTGTGTATATAGCTAATGTAATCAGAGGCATATGTCCAACTGAACATCCAAAATCACAGAATCATAGAAAATTAAGGTTGGAAAGGACCTCAGGAGGTCATCCAGTCCAACCCCCAAAGTTTGAGCCAAAGTTTGTCTAGCCAGGTCTTAAAAACCTCCAGGGATGAAGATTCCACAACCTCTCCAGGTAAACTGTTCCAGTACTTTCCTACCCTCCTTGTGAGGAAAATTTTCCTAATATCTAAACTAAACTTCCATTGCTGCAAATTGAGACCACTGCTCCTTATTCTGTCACGTGCCACCACAGAGAAGAATCCAGATTCATCCTCTTGAAATCACATTGAAACCTGTTATGAAATCTCCTCTCAATCATCTCTTCTGCAAACCAAATAAGCCAAGTTATCTCAGTCTCTCCTCATAAATCACATGCCCCAGCCCTCGAACTGCTTTCATTGTCCTCTGCTAGACTCTCTCCAATTTGTCCAAACCCTTTCTGTAGTGGGGAGCCCAAAACTGAATACAGTACTCCAGATGTGCCCTAACCAATGCTGAATAGAGGGGAATAATCACCTCTCTCAATCTGTTGGCAATGCTCCTACTAATGCAGCCCACTATGCCATTAGCCTTCTTGGCAACAAAGGCACACTGTTGGCTCATATTCAGCTTATTTTCCCCTATAACCCCGGGGTCCTTTCCTACAGAGCTGCTGCTTAGTCAGTCAGTCCCCAGCCTGTAGTGGTGCATGGGATTGTTCCATCCAAAGTGCAGGACTTTGCACTTCTCCTTATTGAACCTCAAGACATTACTTTCGATCCAATCCTCCAATTTGGCTAGGTCTCTCTGAATCCTAGCGCTACCCGCCAGTGTATCTACTATTCCCCCCAGCTTTGTGTCATCTGAAAACTTGCTGAGGATACACTGCATCTTATCTTCCAGGTCAATGATGAAGATACTGAACAAGACAGACCTCAGCACTGGCCACTGGAGCACTGCACTTGATACCGGCTGCCCGCTAACCATTGAGCAAGACACTTTTCTATACACTTTACAGTCCATTCATCCAACCTGTACTTCCTTAGCTCTTTTGCAAGAATGTTGTGGGAGACCATAGCAAAAGCCTTGCTAAAGTCAAGGTTCAAATCCTATAACAGGTTTTTAGCTTTCTAAAGGGTATGTTTTAACCAGATAGCATCATATTCCAAATGTTAATATTAACCTTAGATTTTTTTCAATGATTACATTTAGTGTATGTACAACTTTTGCAAAATGTTATTAACATCAATACATAAAAAACCCACTGTTATAGTCAGATGTAGGGAGAAAAGTTCTATAAGCGATTGAAATCAATAGTATGATTGTAGGGTTTTCTTAACATCTTGGTTTTATTACAGCATAAAGGCATTTGACAACTCTTGTAATTTAACATCTTTTTCTGTGTTATTAGAACATTATTTGACTCAAAAAGGGAGTTTAAAAATTATTATTTTTTATAGGCCAAATGCAGGTCTAAATTACATGTGCCCAACACACATTGAAAAATGCTTGAGTTTCCTTTTTGATGATCACTTTTCATTGTTGGCAGAGAAAGAAAAATAAAAATCTATTTTGGACAGTGGTAAATTGCTAAACATCTAAGAGTATAAAGATCAACCAATTTATAAAGTGCTATTGATTTACACTAAAAAAATCATGTAAGTTGATCACTTTACTATATTAATATTTTAGTTCAGTACTACCGCAAGTGGTGCCAGTACTAATGATATTTAGAGATTAAGTAACAACACCTGAAAACATAAAAGAGGGGATAAATATAGCATTTTTGGAGAAGCAATAACTGATATTGAAATCTTTTGGCACCAAATAAGAGAGGATTTGTTTGACATTTTTTTCCTAATCTGTACCTCAGATTTTTGGACATTATGATTCTATGATATCTGGCAGTGCTGCTACACAAGAGTCTGCTATGATAGGCTGCAAAAATCTGTTTTGCTTCCCATTAGAGGTTTAAGAACCTATTTACATTAATAAGATGATTCTTGCTGAGCCTAGTGGCAACTGGATTGGGCCTATAAACTTTATTTATTGGAGAACTAAAAACCTCATTGTTTCAAATTACATGTGGGTGAAAAGAATCATGAAAACTGTTCACAAATAAAACATGCTTTAATTTTTAGAAACAAGGCTATAACTGTGTTAGTAGTATAAATCATCAGTTGCTGAAGGCTCCTGAGGAAACCCAGAAGAGAAACATGACAGGACTGGGGTGAAGGGAAAAAAAGCTAGAGAAATCTCTAAGATAGAGACATTTGCAGCAATAACCAGAAAGGGCATGCAAGGTGAAGTGATGTCAAGTGGCTGTGGGAATTAGAGAAAGGGGCTGCTGTGGCTCAGACCATGGCATCAGTGTCAGAAAACTCACTTTGCCTCATATACCAATATAAAAAAAACCTTGCATTCATTTACCCCATTCTTCTGACACCTTAAATCTCAAGAGGATCTAAAAAATAAGTGACATAAACAGGCTAAGAAGAACAGAACAAGTTCAGGTCAGCTTTCTGATATACAATCCTTCTGTCATACAGAGAAGAGTAAAGATCAAGCATTCCAAGATTCCTAACTTTCCACCTCCATCTGAGGATTGTATCTAGCTTAGAAAGTATTGTATCCAGCCTCTGAAAGTTCTTCTGCATGTCAGAACAGCCAAATAAGCTTCCATTTGTTTTAACTATGCATGGGTTTGCTAAGGATAGCACAAGAATTTTCCTGTGGAAAAAAAATACAGTGCATATTTGGAAAATTTTACTCTATGGACTAGTTTCCCTATTTGGAAAATGGGATAAAAATACTTCCAGCACTTGCCCATATCACAGGAATGTTGTGGCTGGTAAATAATAATGATAATATTATAGCACTTTTCCCATGAAGTCTCAAAGCACTTTAAAAGGGAGTTCAGCATCATTATCACCATGGTCTAAGGGCATTAGCAGAGCTAGCAATACAAGTCAAAACCAAGTCTCAATACAGTGCTCTATTGCGGGGCCACACTGATTTCATGATTTATTTATCAGCATGACCATATCAGGGCGCACATACTATTAAAATCCAGATTCCATTAAAAGTTGGACAATTACTGCTAAGTAGAGTAACAAATTTATCACATTATTTAGCATTTCCCTTTCAAACCACAAATGATAAAGGCAAATATTGTAAATATGCATTTAAATGATGGTCAATGTATACTAACTTGTTAGTATAAAACCTACCGTTATCGCATACATTCTAATCTCATAGAACACTTATAATTTTAGTATCTTGTGTGTTATATACTGTTTAGTGTAACAGGCTGGTAATGTTTGCCATATTAGCTGATGGTAATCCCAAGGAAAAATTAAGTGAGGTTTATGGACTCACTGAGGCAAGCAACCTGTTTCTTGGAATGCCAAGAAAACAAAATCTCCAACTTTTCTGGACTAAAATAAGACTTTTCATAGGGTTTCCCCCCAAATATTAAATAAGTAAATAAAAACCCCACAGAAACCTGCCAGAATACTTAGACTCATGGTGCAGCACTCAGATGAGGTAAGAAGGATCCAGTCCCAGTCTTCCCTTCTGCATTCACTTTGATTTAGAAAGAGCAGGGACTTGAACCTGGGTCTACTCAGACCCCCTGCAAGTGCCCCAACAGTGGAATACAGAGTATTTAGGGTTAGTGATAGAGGGGAAAAAAAAAAAAAAAAACATACCCTGAATATTTGAAACCTTCTTGACAAAGGTGTCATTTACATGGATCGTTCCATGGATAGCTGCAGCTTGTCAAAAAATTCTTGACCACTTTTACTTATTGCCTTATCTGAATTCATAAAGAAAGTAAGGAGCACACTGATCAGTCTTGATATAGGAAATCCACAGTCAGCTGTATTTCCAGAGAAGATTTGAACTGAATTTTATTTTATAGCCACTTTCCTTATTGCCATAGCCAAAATGCACCTAAGGGATGATTTTTTCATTATCACTGAAGAATTCATGTTTAACTACTTGTTATTCATAAAATAGGAGAAAATGCACTTGCCTGATTTATGCAAAGATAAATGAACTCAGAATACACTGAGATTAATGAAACTACTTTCACAAGGGCAGAACTAACACTGGATGACCCTGGATTAATTTCTGACTTCCTTGTCCCTTTAGTAAGATTGAGTACAAATAAAAAAAAAAATCATGTAAAAAAGGATTTTAAAAAGTATATATAGACTTACTGATAGTTGTTAAAATGCATCATTGTAGGGCATGACTAACACTGAGAAAAAAAAGGAAGTGGAGTTAATGATGTTTATCCTGCCCTGCCTAGACATTTTCTAGTATATTTGTCCTTGGTTCCATAATGGTCCCCCATCATGGAACCAAAGACAAATGGGCAATCTTACACTCTTTGGAAGCTGCAATGCCAAATGCACAGTTGGCAAAACAAGATGACTCCATGATATAGTCTAAAGTTCTTGGCTTTTCTGGCAGTGTAATTATAGAGTGAAGGTTATTTATAAAGTTATTTTCCTGCATTATGTCCAGATAATCAGAATTCATTACACTTAAATGCACCTTTCAAAGGACAGAAACATAATTTTCTCATGAACAGATTACAATACTTCTTTGCTCAGTCCTTCATTATTTTTGATCCACACTGGCATATAAGACTGAAAGTGTAAGAGACCCTGGACTGGAATCCAGAACCTTGAGTTAGGCTTCCCAAACTATGGTGAGAGTTAGGCACTTCAAAATGGGATCAAAAAACAACCAGGTATTCAACTGGAAGATATCTATAGCTATTCAGTAGGACATTCTGAGGAGAGGGGCTCAGTCTGGCCAAACCCCCATCCATATTTCCTTTCTCATATACCTGAATAAAGCTTAGGCACTTACGTGACTTACTTAAAAAATAGAGAAGGACTTAAAACTGGTCACTCATTTGAGTGAATGCCTTGTGGTTATGGCACTCACTCAGGATGTGGGGTACATATGGTTTGCTCTTTCCTCTGCCTTTAGAGATTCAACTACTCTTCCTTTCCCAACTCCCTTTCTCCCTCCTGAGGATACACCAACACTGAACAATCATTGGGTAAAATACGTAAGCAGTCCTTGGAGTGGGGATGGGAATATAGGTCTCCATCCTTCCACACAAGTGCCTTAATCAGTAAGAAAGAAAATCATACTCCTTCCTTCTCACACAGTGACTCTTTTTTGCAGAGTGGAACAGTTTCAAAAGGAGGTTAAGGGAGTACCCCTCTTTCCTAGACAAGACTCCATTCCAAAATAGCCTTTTGTCATGTGTGTAGGACATCCTTGAAGGAGGTAAGAGATATGTGTTTGAATACTATGAGAGAAAGATGAGAAACTGGGACTCCCACATCTTGGGTGAGCATACTAACTATGAACCTATTTGATAAGTAGGAGCAATACCCCCACTGCTTTTAAAAGAAAGAAACAACCTCCACTGCATTTTTGTCTGTCACACCAATCCAAAAGGCATGTGTTAAGTCTCCTCTGAGAAAGCCTACTAGACTGAGCCCTTCAAAGGAGATATTTCGAGGCATACCTTTTTCTTTAATCCCAGTCAAGTTTAGACATGACCTAATACTAGTGAGGAGGTGCTCAGTTCTGTTAAAACTAAGGTCTGTGTAGGCATGAGTAGAAGCAGAAAGCCTGGGGAACAAGAAGATAAAAAAAAAATGGGTGTCTCCAGGGATAGGTGGCAACTTTTCAAGATTTCAGTTTCTGACTCAGTTATCTCAGCCCCATGTGGATGCCTCAATCTGTATTTCAGCCTGGCCTTACAGATATAAAAAGAATGTGCCTTTGGCTAAAGATTTAATATAATTTTCTTAATTAGTAGTGGATACATATACATGCCTGAAACCTGACTGCCTGTCATTAGGAACAAAATGAAAATAGGTGAGGAATTGCAACCAGCTCTTAACATGAGTACAGCTGTGAAGAGGGCTTTATTATTATTTATTTAACAGAAGGGAATCCAGAATTCATTTAATTTCTTTGTTTCATCACTTATGTATCTTTATTTCTTTTCCCAAAACTTCCTGCGTCAAACCCTTGAGCACATGAAGAAGTTAAAGCAAAAATTCTTGAAACGAGAGGCAACACTAAACCCATAAATGGTTTGAGAAGCAATACTCTCAATAAAACCACTGACTTCTATATACCTTATTTAGTTTATACATAGTAAAGGGACAAACTTGTCTTTGTCTTGTCAAAACCAGCAAACTGATTTATCTCAGGTTATAATAAAAACCAAAACTGCCACCCTATCCCTTAGAATGACTATTGATAGAAAGGCTTTGCTTGACTGTATAGAATAATCTTGTGTAATACTTATACCATAGTGCTACCCTGATCCATACTAATTATAACAGACTTATAATTATAACTCTTCATTATTAGAAGGATATCATTAGGACTTGTATAGCTGCAGAAAATAAAGACTGCTTAGAAGTGTTCAAAAGGCAGATATGGACATGTTAGTTTGGGTAACCAGGTTAGTTTGGGTGAATCAGGCCACTGGAAACCTCACTGGTCTGTGAAAAGATCATTGGGGAAAAAAGGGAAATCCTGTCCTGTGCAGTATGGGATCTTCATTTTAAAACATGGCAAAGATAAGGGGCTGCAGGTAAACAGTTATGAGAACCTCTTCTTGGGTAAAGTTTATGTTCATCACTGCTGGTAAATTTGCTCATGTAAGGCTTAACTCCAGTTCCACTCCACAAACTTGCAGTAGTTTTACAAGGTGTTACATGGTCTTATAGGCTGCAAGATCAGGATTATATATGGATCATGAACACTATGTTGAAAAAAAAGATAATAAAGAAAGATGCATGTTGTTTTTAAAGTCAAGTCAATAATATTGTAAAATATTTGAACAAAAAACAAGTAGAAACAAGAGCATTACTCAATTTAACTGAAGTCTCCAAACTAGTACAGACACGATGCATAGGGGTTGTCTGAAATATCACTTGTCCTTGTTACAGGTAAGTTTACTGGCCTGTGTAATTTCATAGCAACACAGAGATACATTCATACAGAGAGAGAAATACTTCAGAGATATTAAATGGTAAATCACCACAGTATTATTTCTCTAAACATGTGCTGCTAGACCACTTTAAAGGATTGGCTTTTTAAAAAGAAAATCAGAGTACATAATACAGGCAGAAATAGTGGTTTATTTGCAGAAAGACAACCCCCATCCCAACCCTCACAATTAGATTTAGGAAAGAAATAACAGGCCTTTTATTTAATAGACCTTTAAAGCAACCTAGCAGAATGGGATTATACATTTTGTGAAAAGAATCTATTGTCAGTGCTTAAACATTCCAATTCAAATAGCACAGATAACATAAAACCCTTTTAATCTTCTTGAAAATTTCTGCAACAGGAAAGGTTTCAAGTACAGCAAAATTTGACTTCAGAGGTTATTTTTCTTACAGAATTCTTTGTTTCTTCATTGGTTTAATGAGGATTCCCTTAAAATGCCACTGTCATTTATCCACTAAATGGTTTGCTGAGATGAGTTAAAAGGCTTTACCTCAAATGCCTGGAAGGTTAATCCGACATTGTAGTTCTCTGACACAGTTATTTTCCACACACATTCCTTCATTGGTCTGTAGTCATCAGGATAATTAGGAGACTGGATCTGGCCTTCATTTTTGTGGATCTCACCTCCACAAATTGCTGAGGAAAGCATAAAATTCAATCTAAGTATATGGTCGATACTGACATGTTTTCCTCTAGAGCTGATATTTTTTGTACCTTTGCTGTAAAGTTGGTGATGGGGTTATACTAGGAAAAAACATGCTACCAAGGTCAAATTGTTGAAACCAAGGTCAACTAAGCTACTGAACATTTTACAGGGAGTCTTTTAGGGGCTGTGTATTTTTACACATTCATAAAGATCTTAAAAACATCAAAATAGGTAAGCTATTGTACTTTTTATATGCCTTTTACTACATCCTGATTTGGAACTTACCATAAAAAAAGAGAAGACTAAGGCAGAAGCTTCATTCTCTACAGTAATCTATGAGTCTTCACCTGAGTCTGACTCCAGTTAAACAACTAACATAAGTAAAGTTACAGAAAAACATATGTTCAGAATCAGGACCTATATACCCAACACAACTGAACAAAGACAAATAGAAATGTCCTTATATGCTGTAATCTCCATGTAGAAATTTTGGCATGGGCTAAAGAATAGGACTCAGGAAAGCTAAAGTGAGTTTCAAATATGACGACTCATATCATTAGAAAAGAAGATCTCTGTTATATAGTCATACTGCCAATTAAAAAAGAATATCTATTAAATTAATACTACAAAATATTTCAATATTAAGAACATGTTTTCATATTAATGGTCCATAAGATATATATTAAAATCATTTTTCCTTATCTTTATCCATAAAATTCTATCTTCTTTATTATTCAAAGTGACTTGCCTTCATAAACTGCTGCAAAACCTTTTCCTACCCAATTACTGCTGCTACGGAATTCTATCCACATCCTGCTGTCAGTAGATGCAAGGACTTCAGGCAGTTTATCACCACAGAACCTACCTAAAAACAAGCAACAAGTAAGTGCATTTTATATCAGCTTTAAAGCCCCAGTCCTGCAAACACTTGTACACATTTATAAACAAGAGCTATCTGAATGCCTTCAATGGAATTACTCACATGCTTAAAGTTAAGCACACGTTTCTGCAGTTTAGTGCTTAAATATTAATACACCCTTCCCCTGATCTTATTATAATAGAATTATCTTTTATAATTCTTGGGTTCTTTTAGTATGAGGCCACCTTCAAAGCTCTTAAAGGGTTTGCCAAGGAGTATTGCATTTTACAGTTTCCATATTTAGAAAGTTATTAATTTTAAAAGAGCAAAAGCAAGTATTATGATGTCTGCAGTCACTTCAGCACTGTCCAACAACATAGCATGCGAGTGCAAAAAAGTTAAAAGACAAAATCACTAATTTTCCTTTCCACTCCTTCCGAGGAGTCAGGTGTAATTTCTGTTTGCTGGTTTTTATTTTATTCCTTTCTACATTCCTTCCCCCCCCCGCCCTTTTTTTTTTTTACGATTTACTTGCATTTCCTTTTTTGTCCGGACTATACCTACTCCATCTCTTTTGTCCTTTGTTTTACTGATTTTTTTCTGTTGTCGTTGTGAGAACAGAAAGCTAAGAAGCTTTATCATATATTCTATAAGTCCCGAAGCAGAGATTCCACTACTAAATTGAGAGTCTTTTCTTCTTAACAGTGGAAGGTTCTTGTTTCTAGCCATAGTAGGTCATAAAATGCCAGTCTTTAAGTCCATCACTGTTCCAAGAATGAACATAATGCACACTGGCAGATGACTGCAATGCCGAAGGACTGTGTTAGGAGGCAGCCCAAGAAGGCATGCCACACCTACTCCATGAACTCTATACCTCACAAGGATATAATTAATGCTGAGCATATGTCAATAAATACACCTGAGAGAGAGAATTTATGGCATGCACTTAGTGCTGCACTGAAAAGGCACGTACACTGAATACTTTTGGAGGAGGAGGGTGTTCACTAGTATGCTCTGGAGACAAAGCAAATATCTTCATTGTAGTGTAATATTAGACCTAACACTTTGCCAGAAGTGCCTTGGTTTTGATACAGCTGAGAATGCCATTACCTAGCTAATGCCTAAACCCTATCAGGATATAAGGTAGAATAAGGCAATCTTCCACATATCTCCCTTGAGGGACCGAGTCTGGTAGACATTCTGAGAGGAGTAACAATTCCAATTTGGTCAGATACAAAGTTTATCTGACATACCTTAAATATAAAAAAGGTAAGGTTTGATATAGTAGTTATCAAAGACTTTTCATTAGTGGCTAGGCCACAGATGATGATGTCAAAATCTGAGATATATGCTATTTATAAGATAGACATAAATACTGCTGTCATATATGTGGCAATGTAAATTATTATACACTGACATATATATGGACATATTTTGTATACATTTGTAAATATACACTCCAAGTAAGCAGTTCTGGGTATCAGTGTATCTGTTTCTACATATGTTTAATTACATCCAGTGAAATATACTAAAAACCATATAGTAAATTTCAGTCAAATATCTGTGTCTAATTCCACAGTTAAAATTTGGTGTAAATTGTACTGGTTGAAAGAGCAAAAATGTAACACCTCAGATTTCTTCTAGTTTAAAAACAACATTGTTCTATACTGGAATGTAGCCTGAAGCAAAAGGCCAAGAGTGGAGGCATATACTATAGAAACTACTGGCCACAAAACACGATATAAACTAAAAGTTCCTTTCTCCTAACAACAACAGAAAAGCTACAAACAAAGCTTAGAAATAGAACTTTATATCTCCTGTCCTAGTCAAAAGAAGTTCATTACCAATCATGCACACTGAGAGCACATGCTCTTCTGCGTTGGCAAAAAAGTATTCCTATATTTCTATCCCCAAACCTAACAGCTTAGTAAGTTAATATGCAGAAATACTGCAGTAGACATTTATTCTTAAAATCTATTTTGCAGGTCTCCTTTTTCATATTTAAAGTATCTACTTAAGAACTTGTGTATATTTTTATGTGAATTAGCCATGATTTGTGGACTGAATTACTGACTTGCAAAAAACTTTCATTGGGGTCAGCTCCATTATTATATGAACTAAAGTTGCTCTCCTGAAAAGCTACAGAGACAGAGCTGTGAATCAGAACTTTACACCCACTCACAGGTGTAACAATCATGCACACTAGCAGCACAGTCTTAAGACAGATTTATTTATCTATTTTAGATACTTCTGAAGGGCCAGATACAGACATTACTCTTTCACTGGTATAAGCGATTAGAAATCAGTCTACACCTGTAACGGAACAGAACTTTGGCACACGTAGACTGGCTTTAAAATGGCAGAATCTGGTCTAAGATAGACCTGGATCAATGTGCCCTCAAACTTAATTGATTTAAGTTTGATTTAAGTTCAATGCATTGAACTTCTGTACCAGATTCCCTATTGATTCATGTTAGGTTGCTGTCTGCCAGCACCCCGGGTTCCTTTGCAGGCCCTCACTAGTCCTGTGCTCAGCTCCTCTGGCTGAGAGCCCAGCAGACTGTCCCTGGGCTGTCACAAAGCTAAGTCAGTACAGACCCTTTCCTCAGCCCTGCCTCCTGCCTCCAGGCAACTCTCAGCTGCAGGCAGGCAGAGGATGGAGGTGTGCGCACCTGTGCCCTGCAGCCTGGTTAGGCCCTGGCTTCATGGGATTGTGCCCAGTCACAGAGGCATAGGGGTTCCTGGATAGGTGTGGGAGCCCACCCAGAGACCCCTGGGCACCTGTACACATACAGTGAGGCTGCTCTGATGTGCTGTAATTACAGCACGTTGCAGCAGACTCAATTAATCAGGTCTGATGGAGCATAGTAATTGCCGTACTCCAGCAGACTCCAGCATGTGTATCAGCATCCCTGTGCTGAAAAATGATGGCTTTAACTAAGTTAAAGCACCCCTGTACCATTTTTCAATGCAGGGATACTGACACATGTAATGCTCCAGGCACTTTAATTGGAACAACTTGTGGAGCCACTCTAATTAAAGCATCCAGCCCCACTCCCAGAGCATGTGTGTAAATGCCCCCTATGTTCTGGCAAGCAGGCACAGCCCCACAGAGCTGGAGGCAGAGCCCAACCAGGCTGCACGACACTGGCAAGCATACCTCCCCCCGCTGCCTGCCTGCAGCTGATGGGTGCCTGTGGCTGACGTGACATGGCAGTGAGTGGAGGGATGCTCAGCTGTGCCCTGCAGACCATTTGGGTTCTGATTCTGCCCCCAGCTCCAGGGGGATGTGCCCACTCATGAGAGGAATGGGGGCCCCTGGATGGGTTCCTGCACACCCACCCAGGGACCTTCATGACCCTGCGAGTAGGCACAGGTCTATGAAGCCAGAGCCTAACTAGGCTGCAGGGAATGTGCAAACATGCCTTCCTCCACTGCCGTGTCATATCAGCCACAGGAACAGCAGGAGGAAATGTTTTCACCTGTGCCCAATACCTGATTAGGAGTGGACCAGCCACTTAGTGGTGCTCAGCATTCTCCAGCTGCCCAGGGAGCCCATGGGACATGCTGGGAGACATCTTGAGTGCCCCCAACCTGCTGCCCTTAGCCAGTGCAGGCAGCCTGCATACTCTCCCCACCCCCCCGGGTATTCTTTTTGCTCCCAATCTAACCTACGCTGCTTACAGAAACCCACGTAGGTTTGATCGATTCCACCTTGGGCTTTTTGAACATCTGTACTTAGCCAAATAAGCAAAGATATTGCAAGGATCAAGATAGGAATCTAGTTTTCATCTTGTAGCTGTACATTGAGGAAAAATAACTGCAATGGGAAAACAGTTTCCTACCGAGCAGAGGCGATTTTCTCCAGTAGCCATCTCTTACTTCAATATAGTCATACCAGCAGAGACTGCTCTTGTACAGGTCCATTGTAGTAAAGTTTAACACAATCTGCAATGCAGAGGACAACAGCAGGCCATATAATTTAGTAGGCAGCACTGGAATAAGGTCAAGCTTACTGCCATGCTACAAAACTGAAGCCACAAAGGTCATGTTTAATGTTTTGCCAATCATTTAAGTAATATGTAAGTTCTCCTCAGCCATTTGCAATATTTGGGTTTTTACAGCATTTTCTATCATAAATGAAAAAAGATGCAAGGGAATATTGCATATTCTAAGTTAATTTTCCATGTTTAACACAAATTTAGGGGTTACCACTTTATCTTAATAGTTCCTGGGAGAAGGGAAATTATGACACCCAAATATGATAATGATACAATACAGCATACTACAGTAACATGTTATTCTAATGTATTATCTGATAAAACTATTAAAGGGATTGTGTTGGATGCTACTAATCCTTAAACACTGTTCCATTTATTATATAGGGCTTTTGTTTGTTTGGAATATCTACAGCTATAATTGACATTCATGGATATAACAATGTTGTTTTCTCTTCTTTACTTTCAAAAATCATGTGTTATACATTGTTTGAGGGTATAAGCATGAGCAATGATGTGAAAGCATCATGAATGAACTTATAATAATAAATTTCCTATACAAAAATCGGAACTTTCTATATTACTGAAACTTTGGAATTTGTACCGTCCTATGCAGGCTGAAATCAGCTGAGTGCATTCATAAATAGACAACACCAGATCTGTTGCAAAAGCATTCTGATGCATACACAAAATTGTTTTTGGTTTTTGAATTTCCTTATGCTATAATGTGAGAGGCAAGGGTTTCTTAGGGTGATATCTTTTATTGGACCAGCTATGTAGTTGGAAAGTTACAAAAGCCTTTGAATGCAAGATAACCTCCATCAGATGTCCCTGACAAAATGTCTTGCATTCAAAAGCTTGTCCAACTTTATCCCATCTACATAGGTGGTCCAATAAAGGATATCAGCCTAAGAAATCTTTGCCTCTAACATAATTTCTGGACCATAGAATCATACAGAAGCAGGGCTGGAAGGAACCTCCAGAAATCATCTAGTCCAACTCCCTGCCTGAGATAGGATCATTCCTATCCAAGCCAACCTAAGCAAACCATAATCTGCCATCAACCCTGACACAACACAGACCTACCACCCTAATCTGCCACTGCTTGAGCCATGGCAGTCAATATCCTGCATCTATGAAATGGTGCAGACGACAGGCAAATACACGGTGTTGGTTTCACCAATAAGAACCAGATTGGCAGCCGAATGACCAAATTCCCTGTTGACATTAACGAGTGCCTCATGACTCTCCACCCGCAACTGACCAACAATTTGTTTCCTACCATCATTAGTGCAAAACTTTATGCCAAGGAGGAACAGAAAGAACAGTTTTATGATGACTAATGTAATCCTGACTATCATCCCAAAAGAGGATAACACACATGTCATGAGTGGAGCCAATGGCTGCTAGACTGATCACTGTTTAGTGAGATCAGTCATGTCCATTAAATCATGTCCATTAAAAGCATTGAAAACATTGAAATATTAAAAACATTGAAAGCAACCCAAATTAGTCCACAGACAGTAAAACATCAAATGCCTTCACATCCCTAAATACCACAAAGCCATCCAAACATATCTTAGCAAGAAACTCGCCAATCTTAGGACTGAAAATGATAACACTTGTGTTGAGGAAGACTGGCGACCTCTAAAGGAGACCATGCATCCGGCCTGAATGGAATCAACTGACTTTAATCACCTAACACCATCAGGACTAGTATGAGGAAAACAACAATGAGATCAAAGCCTTCCTCAATTGGAAAGAAAGAGAAAAGCTTTCTGTGACTGGCAAAACCATCCTACATCCAGTCAGAAGCAGGGAACTTTTGATGGCAAAAAACTGAAGCCCAGGGGAAGATTTGAGAAATCAAAAACAAATGTTGGGATAGGAGAAGGTGAAAGAAATCCAACAACTTATTGACAATCATGACATGAGGAGCTTCTTCAGTGCAATCAAGGCTGGGTACGAACCAAGCTTTTGTGGATTCACCGTACTTAGAACTGAAGATGGCAATACACTCCTCAAAAATGAGTCCATCAAAAATCACTGTAAGGAGCACTACTAAAAGCCCCTGAAACTATTTGATGAAACCATGCAATCCACCCTGCAGCACCCAGTAAGGGAAGCATTTGCTAGATTTGGACCTCTGAAGAAGTCCACCAGGCGATAAGACAGATGAAGAACAACAAAACATCTGGCCCTAATGGCATACCAGCTGAGGTCTTCAAAGTTGGTGGGCAAACTATGATCAACAAGCTCCATGCACTGTTTCTCAAAATCTGGAACATTTAGGAAATTCCCACTGACCTAAGGAACGACAATATTGTCACCATTTTTAAAAAATTGAGATGTCTGTTTTTGGAATCTGTCAAGGTATTGTCTTCCTCTCCATCGTAGGAAGATTCTCGCACAAATTCTGCTGGACTGACTGCTCCTTCTTGCAGAGGAAGTCCTTCCCAAGTCTCAATCTGACTTCAGACCATCGAGAGGCACCATGGACATGATTTTTCCAGGCCAGCAGCTCGCGGAAAAATGCCAAGAACACCAGGAACTGTATATGGTCTTTATGGATTTGACCAAAACCTTCAACTCTGTTAACTGTAAGGTTCTATGGAAGATTGAAGTTTGGCTGCCTAGGGAAATTCTTCACCATCCTAAGACTCCTTCATGACCAGATGACTGCCTCCATCCTATGCAGTGGCTCTGCTACGGAGCCCTTTGCGATTCGAACTGGCGTAAAGCATGCCTGCGTGATTGCACCAATTTTGTTTTCCATCTTTCTTGCGGTCATCAAGATGCTCCTCCATGATGATCTGCCACATTGCATCAGCACTAAGTACAGGATGGACAGTGACCTTTTCAATCTCTTTCACCTCCATGCCTCCAAAGTTACTTTGGCTTCAATTGTGGCACTTCAGTACACTGACAATTGTGCTGTCATTGCACATATGGAGGAAGACCTACAAACAGCCCTTAACTGCTTTTCTCAGGCATACCAGTGCCTGAGACTGATGCTTAACATCAGAAAAACAAAGGTGCTTCACAAGCCTGCTCCAGGCCAATCAGCTCCCTCAGCAAAAATCCTCAATGATGGACAAGAGCTGGAGAATGTTGAACACTGCATACCTCAGTAGCCATCTCTCAAAAAAGGCCAATATCGATGGAAGAGATCCAGTATAGGGTCCAATGTGCCAGCTCTGCCTTCAGAAGACTGAATCATTGTGTGTTCAAGGATCACAACATCAGGACTTGAACACAGCTCCTACTATATAAGGCTGTAGCAATCCTAACTCTAGCCTATGGCTCTGAAGCTTGGGTGACCTACAGGGACCACCTGAAAAGCCTGGAATGTCATCACCTGCGCTACCTCTGGAAGACCCCTGACAAAATGGGATCATCACACAAATGCCAGTGTCCTCACCACTGCTAACACCACTGGTAAGGAAGCATTGATTATTCAACATCAGCTGCAGTGGACAGGGCACTGTGTGTGCTTACCTGATGTACATTTAACTGCTATATTCCCAACTCAGCCAAGGGCAAGGGACACACAGGGGCTAAAGGAAAAGGAAATACTTCAAGAACACCCACAAGGTGAACATTAACAAGTGTGGCATTGCCACCACAAATTGGGAAAAACAAGCCTGGGACTGGGCTACAGAATGATGCCTTGTGAGAGATGGTACATCTTACTTTGAGGAAAACTGTCTCACTTTAGAGGCAGAAAAATGACAGAAACGGAAAGAAAGGCAACAAGACTAAGAAATTCATGGTCTGACCTTCCCTTTAACCAGCACCTGTGGTACCAGCCAGAAAGTCTACAGCTCTAGGATTGGCTCCTTAGCCATCAACGGACTCATTTATAACCCTTTACTTGACCTGTGGAAGTGATCATTCTTGACCATGAGGGATCACTGCTGCCAACTATTTGTCTGCATTGAACCATCACATGTACAACATAACTTTTAGACTACCTTATGCTATAATGACATAACATACGGTTTCTCAACATAAGTAAGTTTAACTGAGCCTACATATTTACAGTCACAAGTTCATCTGTAGTTGGTCTCATTCTCTTAGTGTTCTGGCCCAGTATATGTCTTCATCCGTATACTACCATTCTTGCAGTAGAGACATTGAGAGTAACTGCACAGGAGTTGTAAATGACTGAAGCAGTCACTGCCAGCATTCACTGGCTCATAGCCAATGCTTGCAACAATTAAACTAGTAACATGCTACAGGGAACATCATACTTTGCTCTCCCTTGTCAACTTCAGTTTTAACTTTTTAATTTCCTATAGCTTCCAACAGCACTAGAAGATGTCATGGACAATTTGTTGCCTGCAAGGCATGGCTTGGGTACCGTTGACCTGAAGTTTAAGGAGGATTAAAATAAATTGCTATGTGTCTGTTTACTTGGATTTTATTTTATTGTGAACATAACATTCTCTGTGATGGATAAAAATAAAATCACAATCATGCCACAATGACATTTACAATAGGAACAGTTATCAAGTAGTTGTAATATTTTAAAGTGGATTCAGTGATTCATGTGCCTTCATTACCTTTGACTTTTCTCCTTTGCCCATTGTTTTAAGCTCAAAACTTTGTTATGAATATAAAACAAGACTTTGAAGAGTTCTCTAACTATATACCTGCAACTTTTACTGAGTTCAGTGGAGATGTAGATACATAAATGAAGACAGAATAGTCTCTAATCTGTAATAATGAAAGCCGGTTCCTTTCATTTTCCCCCCTTACAACTGTATTCTAGTTAAAATATAAAAAGTTTTTTTTCTGACTATTCTTCATTGTAGCTTGACAAATATTCAATACAACTGTTCCAAAATTGACTTCTATAGTGTACTGCAACGTAACAGTGCTACAGGCCTTTTTGTCGGTTTAATTTTATTTTAATGCTGGGTAACTCCAAAATTTAAATCTGTTTCTATAGCAGAAACATTTGCTATTGAGCAGTAATTTAAATTTCACACCACAACACTGTATTCCCATGGATATAGGGAATACAGTGTTGTGGTGTGAAATTTAAAACTGTTAAGGAACTTATTCTTTACTCCAGCTGTGTTGAGGAAATATAACACTATAATTGGAACAATGGGCCCAAATAGTCACTTTATAGCTTTCTTCCATCATTCTTTCTGCTGTCATATAAGATTCTTTTAAAGGAATATATAACACTGTATTTAGCAACAAACCCCCAATTATAGAACAGAAAAAAGAAACGGATATTGTTCAAAATCTAATTTGTAGTAAACATATAGCTCAGTCATCTGGCTATTCAGGTAGGATATGGGAAATCCAGCTACAAGTAAGAGCATCAAACCAGGCAGACCAAGAACTTGAATCTGTTTTTTTCTACAGCTGCAGTGAGTATCCTAACATATGAGCTCTTTGGGAGTCTGTTCTCTCCTGATTTTCACCAGAATTTTCAAGCATCATTTTAGTTCCAGTAAGGACAAACATTTTTGTAAATCTCATAAACCATTGCCTATGCAGCTCTATTTTTGAATACTATAAACCTTAGGCACTGGTGGTAGAAAATTGGACAGGGACTCATTTAAAATACTCTTCTTCTAGCAAGGAAATGAAACAATGTTTTGCAAAACTGAACTAATTATAGTGGTCATACAAAAAGAATACTATATTTTGAATTACTCTAGATGCATCCCTACACTGGCTAATACTAAACATATACTACTGCAGAATGAGTGTCAAAAGGTATTTTCACAAAGCTCCCTTGCACGCTGTAGGAAATACATACTCCTGCCCCTTTAACAAATATGGTAGTACTTTATGCAATCCTTCTGTATGGCAGTTTGAAATCTGTCTACTCTCCCATTCACCAGCCCTGTACTTCCTTAGAGTGCAGGGACAATAATTCTAGTGTGCCTTATATAAGCCTTTTCTGTTTCTTCTACCCCTTTAAGGCCATGTAATGGAAGTGAGAATTTATCCCTAAATTATCAAAACTGCAAGCAAGAAATTGAATATTTTCACTCTAAGAAATTTGATACATTTGGAAAATACACAGCAGTTAAGTTTTATTTGGTTCATAAATTAGGAGTTGTGATTATTTCAGAAACCATGATCCATAATTATAGAATATTAATTAAATTATAATATAGACTTCAATTCTGAGCTGAAAAATCAGAGCAGACTGTTTTCAAACCACTCACAATTGTTCCTAAGCCTGCTACATAATCTTCTTTCTTTGCTTATGGAGACATTAATTATTTTCACTGAAAGGCATAAAATTATATTTTAAATGTTGATCTACTCTTCATTTTTCTACCTTTACATACTGAATTTTAATGTCCAGCAAATATAATCTTCATGGAAAATAATTTTAAGAACAATCTTTGTTGTTTACTGTGATCATGAGAAAGGATTCAGGATGCCCCACAACCCAAGGACCACTCCACCTGCTGGCAGCTGACCCCCCCCTCCTTACCAGAGAGGGAGATAAGTCAGTAGGGGGTGTGTACAACATGGGGGTTTAATCAGCTCTAAATTGAAGTGGAGTTTTTTAAAACACACTGCTTCAATTTAGGGCCTCTATTTCATCTACACATGCCCTCATAGACTGACTAAATCAGTGTCATATAGCATAAGCTTTTATGCTATATGCCTCTGATTCAAGGTGCAAATCTACCCTGCCTTCTGCCTATATTTCACTATCAAATGCAAAAGTCTGGATATTAGGATATAATCAATTTGTGATATTAGGGAAGCTTAAAAAAAACCCTAAACTCCTAAATAAAGAGGAAAGTATCTTAAAAAAAGGAAGAGGAGATGCTTGTATTTATTTCAGGAAAGGGGATGCTAAAATAATGCTAAAGTACCTTCTCCCCTGGAGTTACAGAGATTCTCCATATACAGTGGGTATAGGAAGGATAACCATTTGGAAATCCTGGAGATGAAAAGTTGCCTGTAGATTCTTGCAGAGTTTCTCCACATGCTGCAAGAAACAAAATAGAGTAAAAATGGTAATTTCATGTGATTTACAAGGAAAAAAAAGAGTCTTCTTTAAAATACCTATGTAGAATTTATTTCACTTAATGCAGACAGAATGAAAAATAGTTTGGCATGTTATAATTTATTCAAAGTAATGTTTATAAATATGTGCGCCATGAATATTGTTTTAACACAAGATTTTTCCCCATGAACCCTTTAATTTACATGCTGCCTACTGACTTAACCAAAATTATAGCAGTCTTAAAAATGTCATTGCTGTCAGTCTGGCAGAAAATTATACACTGAACTTTATTTCCATAAGGACTTAAAAATTACCTTTAAGCCAAATCATTTAAAAAGAACTAACACAAAATGCAGGTATTCGGTGATTGACATGATACTGGAAATTAATCATTAGTTGCATTCTATATTTTATGTCATCTAGTATCAAAGCTAGATTTGAACTGATAACATCCATTTATATTAAAATAGGAGATTTAAATCCTATTTTCAACAAAATTTCTCCTGCAAAATATGATTCTTGGACGCATTAATAATGAAACAAAGAAAATGTAAAGTCCCCAAAATACCAAAGGCTTTGATATTTGATATTACTGAAGCCTTTATCGGTCATATCTTACCTGTCAATCATACTTCCAGCTGCTGGGTGACTAATTAATAATTCTTCTTTCCCACTGAGCTATATCACCATAAGCTGCTGCCATTCTCTACCTTAAAGATGATTTGACTAGATCTCCTACACCACAGTCACTCATCTTTATGACCTTCAATCAGCAAGTTGTTTCACTTGCTGATTTTTTAAGGTGTGATCTGATGGATATGAATTTGAGAGTACTGCCCTGTGACTGGCAGGGTAATCAGACCTGCAATACTTTCAAATTACAGAGCTACAGCTGCTAGCAGGTAAACCACTGTATCATCAAAATCTCAATTAATTATAAATGACCCGAAAATCTTTAGATAAAGGGGGACAAGGGAAGAGATTGTGTATGTTGAAGAGAGATAATGCAGCTCTATAGGTAGATGGCTGTCTTGTTAAAATGTGTCCAGCACTTAGTCTGACAACTGAATTGTAGCATCCGGCTTAAGCTAAATTCAAGGTACTACACGTGCTATCTGAAGCTGCAATGGTGATTGTGATGAAAAAAAAGAGATTGGTGCTTCATGGAAAATGTTCAGGCAATAGTGGCATGCTAATATATTCCTTACCAACCAAATGGAAATACATTTTTACTGGCTTCATTGTGTTTTTATCTTTTTTTAATTTAAGGCAATTATATCAAATGACATATATACAAAAACTATTCAAGTGTTAATTACTTATGTATGAGTAGTTTCTAATGAAAATCCTACACCCATAATTAACAGAAGTTTATTTTTAACTCAGTGATGAATGAAAGCTCAAAGAAATTGCAGAGTACCATACTGGATTTCCCTAATGCTGACCCCTATGAAACTGAAGCTGTATTGTAACTTTGCCTGAAGCATTTTAAAGCAACTTCAGAGTACAATAATGGTGTTACAAATAAGAAGAAACATAGCCAGAAAGAGGACATTCTGCATAAAAGAACCATGAGAAAGTCAAGAGATCCATTAAAACCAAAGGTCCCGCAGACTGTCCCTAGGCCTCACTGTTGCTGCTCCACAAAAAGTTCTCTTTTTTTCCAAGGTGCCCTCTATTGCATTACACTGCCAAGGCTCTTATTAGTTGTTACTCCATCTGGAAACTCTCTTAAAGGAGGGAAAGTGGTATTCTTGCATGATGGAGAGTACACATGAAAGATAATACTGATTCAGAATGTAATACCTTTACCATCCAATCTGTCTAGATGATTATGTGGCCCTAATCAACATAATAACTAAGTATCCTTTCAACAAATTATTCATGAGACTGTTGGGAGGATAATATACGCATTGCATCTTCTGCCCTTTCTGTCCAAAACCTCACAACTCTCCAAAATCTCTCACCAGCTGCAAACCCTGATCCTGTGAAACCCCCATATAAATACAATGAGGCCCAGAAAGCAACCAATCATTTCTTTAATGCAAACAAAAATTTTCTATAGAAAACTCTATGCCTTTCATAGTGAGTTACCAAACTGCATATTATTCACCTGAGAAACATACACAGCTCTCCTCCAATATATATTTCCTCAGTGAATCTATCAGTGGTAGTCTCTCCTGTTTTCTGTCTGCTTATTAAGGATATATACTGTTAGCTTACAGTGTTGTTAAGTTCATTTGAATGAATACATAACAAGACAAATAAAACTGAAAATACCTAAGTACAAATATACTTTGAAATAACCAATTATAGTGTTTATCAAATAACTAGCCAATTGCCCCTCAGGAATTATGGGGGGGTGGGGAGAGCATGCGGGGACAGAGTCCCACCCCTATCCCCCCTGCCCAGGCCCCCTCCCCCTTTACCTCCTGCTGCTTGGGGTCCGGGCCCACTTCCCCCCCTCCCCGCTGCAACATGTTTTCTCCCCAAAAGGTAAGCATGTTGTCTCTTCCAGGTTGGCTGAACTCGCACGGCGAGCTTTAAACTACGTTCGTCAGGGGATGGGGATGCAGAGGTGCAGGAGGACACTTTGACATCAAGCCAGGTGACGTGAGCAGGAACAACCCAGGTAAGTGACAAGGGCCCGGCAAGCTTGAGAACAAGAAGGCAGCACGAACACCCATAGGAGGTCTCAACTGCCTCTACACAAACGCTAGAAGTATGGGGAATAAGCAGGAGGAACTCGCCCTCCTGCTAGCTAGCAAAAACCCAGACCTGGTTGGGCTTACAGAAACCTGGTGGGATTCTACCCATGACTGGGCAGTAGACAATGAGGGTTATAGGTTGTATAGACAGGTTAGAGTAGGGAAAAAGTGGGGTGTGTAGCAGTCTATGTTAAAGAGAAGTACACATCCTTGATGATCAGGATGGGCTCAGAAGAGGGGCAAACTGAGGCACTCTGGGTTAGAATGCAAGGGGGTCGTGGGAAAAGGGACTTGATAGTGGGAATCTACTACAGACCGCCTCACCAGAGGGATGAGCTGGACCTAGAATTTTCATGTCAGCTCACAGAGTCTGTAAGGACAAGGGATGTGGTTGTCATGGGTGACCTAAACTACCCAGACATCTGCTGGGAGGATCAGTCAGCAAGGTCTGAATGCTAATATAGGCTTTTAGCCTGCATACAGGAACCCAAGAGGTACACAATCCCACCAGAGGAAATGCCTTGCTGGACTTGGTCCTTGCCACAGGCAATGACCTGGTGAGGGATCTGCAGGTGCTCGACTACCTAGGCGTTAGTGACCATCGTCTGCTGGAATTTACTGTCCAACGCAGGGTGGTGAAAACAAGCAGTAAGGCAAAAGTCCTTGACTTCATGAGGGCTGACTTCAATGAGATGAGATTAGAAAGAGAGACATTGGGGACTTGGAGCCTCAATGAGATAGGCATCCAGGATGGGTGGCTGTTCCGTAAGGAGACGATCCTCCAAGCTCAGAAGGAGTCAGTCCCAACGTGAACCAAAGGGAGCAAGAGTGCTAAAAAGATCCCTTGGCTCAGTAAAGGCATTCAGGAGGGCCTAAGGGCAAAAAAGGTGGCATACAATCAGTGGAAGCAAGGGGCTATCACCAAGGAGGACTATACCTCTGTTGCTCATGATTGCAGGGAGGCGGTTAGGAAGGCCAAGGCAGAGAGAGAACTAGGGCTGGCAACCAGAATTAAGGATAACAAAAAGTCCTTTTTCAAGTACAAAGGGAGTAAGAAAGCACCTGGTAATGTGGGGCCCCTCCAGGACAGGCTTGGCAATCTGGTGATTGCAGCAAAGGGAAAAGCTGATCTCTTCAATGAGTTCTTTGCCTCCATATTTCAGAGCAGGGACCGGGACAACTCCCCAACTTGGATTATGGACCAGCTCATGTCTAGGGTCAGGGACAATTTAGTTAGGGAATTCTTGGAGGGGCTGGACACGTTAAAATCAGCAGGTCTGGATGCTCTTCATCCAAGGGTACTGAAGGAATTGGCAGAGGCCATAGCAGGGCCCTTGGCATGGCTGTATGAGTGCTCATGGTGCCCGGGCCAGGTCTCAGAGGACTGGAAAAGGGCCAAGGTGCTCCCCATTTACAAGAAGGGGAGAAGGGAGGACCCAGGTAACTATAGGGCAGTTAGTCTCACCTCAGTCCCTAGGAAGACCTTTGAGAAAATTATCAAGGAACACATCTGCAGGAGCCCAGCATGGGAGGTAATGCTCAGGGGCAACCAACATGGGTTCACTGCAGGCAGATCCTGCCTGACTAACCTTGTTTCCTTTTATGACCAAGTCACAAAGTCCTTGGATGCAGGTGTTGAGGTGGATGTTGTGGCAGAAGGCCACCTCTGTTTCTCCTCAAAAACTCTGCTCTGTGACAATTTGCTTAGGATGGGCCGAGCAGAGGGTACACACCTTACCCTATCTCTTTAGGTAACCTGAGCTGGATACATTCCTGAGGGAGGGGGTAAACCTGCTCCCTCTGCCTACGTGACTGGCATCACATACCTAGGTGAGGGGCTTGGGCTACCTGGGGAGCTAGGAACTGCCAGTTTGCCCAGCAACTAGTGATGCATTTCAAATTGGTTGGCTGACAGCCAACAGGTGCTGGCTTCCATTGGACCAGGTAAATGAGGTCATAAGGTCTATATAAGTTAAGGGCCCGGGGGGGGGGGGCCGCAGCCATGAGGAAGAGTCAGAGAGAGAGAAGAGCTGAACCATCTGAAACTTACTATCTCTCTCAAAACTCATGATCAGGGAACTGCCTGCCTCCAGAGGGAATCTCCACCTGCCTCTGGATGATACTTGTGAGTAAGCTACCTGAGATCTAACTAGATATATAGCTTGCAGTAACGCAGATGTGTGACCAAAGGCTATCCAGCCATGCCAGTTTGCTCTATGGGATATTTCTGATATTGCTCTACCCTGTACCCTATTCCAACCATACCCCTTGTAA